TGTGTACAGTGCCTTCAGAGGCCAGAAGAGAGCATTGGGTCCCCAGAAACTGGAGCTATGAATGGTTGTTAGCTGGCCCGTGGATTCTGGGACCGAACACCAGGTCCTCTGCAAGAGCAGCTAGCGCGCTTAGCTGCTGAGCCGTCTCTCCAGCCCCTTTTATTCTTTAAAAAAAAAAATAACCAAATGTCAGTTTTGGGAATTAGATCAGCTCAGGATACAACATGAGCGTTCTGATTCTCTTCAGAGTGAACTGTCCTTTCTCCTTATTTTCATTTCACAGACAAAGACATGGATGACTAGAGAATCGAAGCTCTGTTAGAGACAAGGAGCTGCCACAAAGCGGCTTCTGCAGGTCCCCTCACTTTAAGCTCAGGCTCTTTTATTGTCAGAGGTGAAAAAACTTACAGATAACTTTTCCTGTGATGACTTTGAGGTGCAGAGATCTGCATTTGTCAGATCCACATTGCCAGTGATTCACATGCTGCTTTCAGTGCCCACGACATCAACGTATGGAATAAATTCTCAAAGAAGACAGAAGATCTATCTAATTGTGAGATTCCTTCTGGTATTTGTTCTTTACATCCTAGCAGATATAAAGGTAGGTGATCCACTAAGGAATGTGATTCCAACTTGCTTCTAAATTGTTTCCATACATTAGCATTTAATTATCTAATAATTTGTTTCAATTTGAGTTTCTTTTAATCATATCATTTTTAATACTGAGAAAGATTAAGGAGCATGAACAAATTTAATCACACATTTTCTCATTTAGTTTAGAAACTACAAACCTATATTGATTTGGCTTGTAACCTGGTGTAGAAATAACTATAAATTAAATGTATAAATAATGAGTCAGCAGTTGGAAGAGTTTGATTTAAAAAATTAGAAAAATAACATTCTTCCTGTATTCAGTATTAGAAAAATAACACCTTATCTATTTTAAAGAGATGTTGCATTTTAAAATAGACTTTGCAAAGGCTAACCCAATAAATACCTGAAACTTGAATATTTTGGCAAAGGATTAATGCATAGGCGTGTGGGGAAGCAAAGCCTGGCCCAGGAGAGACGAAGAAAGATTTCACAGTCATATTCACAGTATGAAGAGTTCAGTATTAAAAAGGGGAAAGGTCTCCAGAGCAAATGAAGACAAGAAAGGAAGGAGAGTCTAACCCAAGCTAGTGCACAGGACCCTCAACACAGGTCTGTTATTAAGGAACAGGTGTCTGCTCTTTCACTTGGAAAAAGGCCCACCCATGGTCCCACAGAAGCACTTGAAGGTTACACACACCGTTTAGACTGTCTGCTGCTGTTGATTTAAAGGATAGGCTTAGAAATTATAGATCGAGCGCAGATTGCATACTAATGTCATATTGTAGAAATTTGCAAACAGGTAAACTTAATGAAACATGCACCTCTTGACAAAAAAGGAGAAGGTATTTGAATGTATGAGTGTGGGATAAACGTATTATTTATTTCTGTGCACGGCATTTTGAAATCAAATGCAATTTAATCCTGAAAAAGAATTTTGCCCAATAAAATAATACCCATTTTACCCAGTCCTTATTTTTTTGTTTTTGGTCCTTGAATCTGTAGGCCAAGTGTGCCTGTGCTCCAAGAAGACACTTAGACATGTGCCCAGGAAGACACTTACACCTGTGCCCCTGAAAGACACTTAGACCTGTGCCCTTGGAAGACACTTAGATCTGTGTCCAGGAAGATACTTAGAACTGTGCCCCTGGAAGACATTTAGATCCTGAGTCTATTTTTAAAAAATATTTTATTTATTATTTTTATTTTATGTATACGAGTATATTGCCTGCATATATGTAAGTGCACCCATGTCGTGCAATGCCGTGGAGGTCAGAAGAGGGCTTCGGATTCCCCTGGAACTGGATAAGGATGGTTTGTAGCCACCGTGTGGGTGCTGGGAATCGAACCCGGGTCCTCTGCAAGAGCAGTCAGTGCTCTTAACTGCTGAGCCATCTCTCCAGCCCCAGATCCTGAATCTTAATCATGGTCCTTCCACTTTCACTGAATTTCTACTAAATACAATACCCTTCAAGCCGACGGATAGTTGAAAAAATAGATATAGAATCTGACCCTGACAGAATTCCACACCTAAAGATGACAAGGTTTAACGGGACTGTGCGTATTACTTAAATGAAATACAGGAATTCTTATACATGCTCTAATAGTTTTTGTAAAACATTGCCATCTTGCCTTGCAGTGCATAAAATACAGCTTTCTGTAACTGAACATTTCTTATTCTCTGAGTGTTTCATTGGATCCGCTTAATCTATATGAACACTGAGGCTCAGAGAGCTTGAAGAGAGAATCTAGGCTCATAGAATTACCCTATGTCACAGCCAGGAAAAGGTTCAGTTCATTCAGTTTCAATTTTTTTTTATTGTACTGTCACTTCAGAAACGAATTTGCGAAGTACAGCATCATTACAGATATTTTCTGATTATTTTCCTGTGAACTAAACCATAGCAAAGGGTTCTCTGAGAGCAGCAGAGTCAGCAATGTGGTTTGGCTTATGATCTTCCCCCACAGAGAGAGCAGATAATAAATTTATCCAGAGAGTTTATTTAGACTCACAGTTTATGATGAGAAGGTTCTCTTTGACAAATCAGACCTTTTATGTACAGGCAGGAGGACTGGTATACTGTGATAGGAGCAGTTTTTTAAATATTCTTTGATTTTTATTTTATGTGTATAAGTGTATTGCCTGCACGTGTGTAAGTGCACCTGTGTCATGCAGTGCCCACAGAGATCAGAAGAGGGCATCGGATCCCCTGGAACTGGAGCTGCAGATGATTGTTAGCCGCCATGTGGGTGCTGGGAATCAAACGCGGGTCCTCTACAAGAGCAGTCAGTGCTCTCAACTGCCGAACCATCTCTCCAGCCCCAATAGGAGTAGTTTTTTAGACTTGGCCTTTTGGGCTGTGACTATAAAACTAGCCAATAATAGAAAAATGGACAGCAGCAAACTTTAAAGATATATGTTGTTGTGAGTTTGAAGAACAGAGAAAAAAGTAAACACCTTTTCAATGTGAGAAATAGCACATGGTCATCATCCCCTGTGGGGTCAGATGACTGGATGGAAGGCAGATCCAAAGGTACGAAGCACAGAAGCATCTGGAACATGGATAACATGTTTATTCCATAAACTGTTCAGCACTTTTTTCTTTACATACATATTTTAATGGGGACTACTACATAAACTGAAAAAGGTAAAGAATAATTAGGCAAATTTAAATAATTTAATCTTAAATGGTATCACAGAAAGTTATAGAACCTGTCACCAAAACTTTGAAAGTAGAAAAATAAATATGGTAATCGCCTCTCACTTAGAAAGCAGCACTCTTGATTGTAACAGTTTTTTTATCTCTCAGTTACAAATGGCTTTTAAAAATTAATAATTACACATAGATAAAACAGCAACAGAGTCATATGGTTGACACACATTTGGTAGCTGTAGTAAATGCCTAACTGTTGCTCAGGGAGATGGTAAACACAGAGAATGAACTGGGACAGCCTACTCAAATCTCCTCTCTCCAGTAGACTGTTGCCCGCTGGCCAAGTCCTCCCAGCCCTGCCATTGGGAAAACAGGCTTCAGAGATCCCCACTCCTGGTTTACTGTAAAGACAGTCAATGGACACAAAGTAGTCTGCAACTGAATTCATCACAATGTTATCGCCATTGAGTGAGTGTGTGTGTGTGTGTGTGTGTGTGTGTGTGTGTGTGATCAACTCAAAGAATCATGGTTACAGAATGCTTAGAGGAGCATTAGATTAGCATTAATTTAACTCACAAACAGTTTGGTGAACTATCTTGTATGTCTGTAGCCATATAGCATGTCAAAGGTCATCCTTGGCATTCATGTACATTGCTGTAGATGTTTTTCCTTATCAAAATCTGAAACTATGTGAGAAATAACCACTGAGTTTTTTGTTAATTAAGGAACAGTATAAAATTCTTATTTCCAAAATAAGTGGTTTATAGCCCAATCTACATTTTTATGTATCTCTGTGCTCTTTCCCCTGAATCCTCATGTTCATCTTAACTGCTGGTGCTTATGTTAACCCTAACCCTAATTCCAATTCCTCATCATCCTAAAATTAAAATTTCTTTCTTAAAAATATGAATCGTGGGGCTGAAGAGATGGCTCAGCAATTACAAGCACTGGCTGCTCTTGCAGAGGACCCGCATTCAAGTCCCAGCATCCACGTGGTGGTTAACAATCATCCATAACTCCAGTTCCAAGGGATTCAAAACCCTCTTCTGACCTCTGCGGACATTACATGACACTGGCGCACTTACATACATCCAGGCAATACATTCAGGCACACAAAAAATAAAAATAATAAATAAAATATAAAAAATAAAAATCATTTAGAACAGTACTTTTTCTTGCATTGAATGACCCTTTTATGTCTGACTTTGCAAAAGTAGTTTACCTTTCCCAGTGCCTTTCGCCCTATATTATATACTATGCTGAAACATGTGTGAACCAAAACAGCATGCTCTCGTAATGCAAGGATTCATGACACAAATGTGAGATGGCTCAAAGTCATAGCTAAATGGTACAGCCAGGGGTAAGAATGTTTTTAAGATGGTACTTATGCAAAGATACACTTAATAACAAAATCAACTAAAATTCACCTAAGGTAAGATGTATTTTACTCAACCTTATATACACACACTGCCATAGTGTCATATATGTGTAGTACATACTGTTGTATATAACTGTTGTAGTATGTATGCTTAGGTGATGTAAATTATAAGTGTTATAGTTCCATAACATCTACTGACATCTTGTCCAATGCGTTTAAAAAAATATTGATATTACATATCTAAATAATATTCTTACACAGATCAGTTGTGTGTATCAGTTTTAGAATACCAAGAAAACTATTTTTACGTTTTCTTTCACCTAATCTATAGGCTGTAATTTTAATTCTCTGAAAACATCATCATTTTGTTGAAGGTTTTACATTATATCTGCAACACTGTAGGCTCAATGGACATGGACAACACATCCTCTACTGACTTCACTTTCATGGGGCTGTTCAACACAGAGGAAACCTCAGGCCTTGTCTTTGCCATCATCTCTGTCATCTTTCTCACTGCCCTGGTGGCCAATGGGGTCATGATCTTCCTGATTCGCACGGACGTTCATCTCCACACCCCTATGTACTTCCTCCTCAGCCACTTGTCCTTCATTGACATGATGTACATCTCCACCATTGTGCCCAAGATGCTAGTTGACTATCTGCTAGGGCAAAGGACCATTTCCTTCATGGGATGCACAGCTCAACACTTCCTCTACCTCACCCTTGTAGGAGCCGAGTTCTTTCTCCTGGGCCTCATGGCCTATGATCGCTATGTGGCCATCTGCAATCCACTGAGGTACCCTGTCCTCATGAGTCGCAGAATCTGTTGGATTATCATAGCAGGTTCCTGGTTCGGGGGATCTTTGGATGGCTTCCTCCTCACTCCAATCACCATGAGTTTTCCCTTCTGTAGTTCACGAGAGATTAACCACTTCTTCTGTGAAGCCCCTGCTGTGCTGAAGTTGGCGTGTGCAGACACAGCACTCTATGAGACAGTGATGTATGTGTGCTGTGTTCTGATGCTGCTGATTCCTTTCTCTGTAGTAATTTCTTCCTATGGTCGCATTCTGACTACTGTCTACCGTATGAGCTCTGTGGAGGGGAGGAAGAAGGCATTTGCCACTTGCTCATCTCACATGACTGTGGTAACCTTGTTCTATGGCGCTGCCATGTATACCTACATGGTGCCACACTCTTATCATTCACCAGCACAAGACAAAATCTTTTCTGTGTTCTACACCATCCTCACACCCATGTTGAACCCCCTCATCTACAGCTTGAGGAACAAGGATGTGACCGGAGCTCTGAGGAGGGCACTAGGGAAGTTCAAGAATTCTCAGCGAGTCTCAGGAGACTTTTGACAGGTGGCTCCTTCTCACATGGAGGGAAATGGGAGACTATAGTCAGTGTTGCTGGGCCTGAACTGAACGATTATACTAGAAGGAAGGATTTGATTGAGCAGAAAGACAAAGTCAACATAAGAATCTGACTTCTCCATCCCCTTGTTTCCTTCATTCCTTCCCCATTCCCTTTTCTCCTGATTGTTGAGACAGATTTTCACTAAATAATACAGGCTGAATCTGTTACTTTCCTTATAGCTCAGACTGTCCTTGGACTCATGGCAATCCTTTGGCCTCACCCTCCTGAGTGTTGGGCCTATGGGCGTGCATGCCAATGCCTGATTCTTTTGGTTTTGTACATCTTGCTTTCCTCCTGTTTTGTTCATGTGATTGCAGATAAGTAGTATTGGCTTCCTGAATACAAACTGGAGGAATTTTCCCAAGAGTTACCTGTTGGAGTAGAATAAGTCAGACAAAATGGTAACTGGCATGGATGATGTCAAGGAGTATGGGAGTAAGATGGTGCTTTGGGACCTGATAGGATTCTGTGCAAGTCTAGCTAGCCATCAAGGGTGAGAGGAAGGTTGATATTTCCCAGCTGATTTTAGCAAGAGCTGGAGGAGCTGGCTCACCTGCCATTGTGTTCCCACTAGCCAGGTGGTAGGAAGATTCACTGAGCACAGTTTTATCAAGTAGTCATTATTTTTACCCAAATCACTAAGTATGTGCTACTTTTAGCAAAACTCAGTATTTAACTTGTGTTTATTTACAACATGTTAATGGAAATTATTTTTGGATAAATTATAGCTGATACATTAAATAAAAGGGTAGTTGGCAGAAAACTGTGTGAAGGACTCTGAGACTGGAGAAGCCTACGCAGGGTGGGTTGGGAAGATAATGAAATGTTTTCTAGATGGCTGAGTGATAACAAGGTAGTGGGTATAATGCAGCGAGGTGGTAGGGTGTAATCCACTGATTTTCTCTGTTCTCTCAACTCAGAAAACATGTGGCAAGCATTTTAACTTGTGCCCATCTGATGATATAAGGAATTTACTCAGGGAACAAATGTTACCACTGAGATTTTAAGTCACTATGTGGAAATGTCATTATAGAAGCTTAACTGTTGCCACAGTCAATAGTATATTGTCACTTTCTCTCTGAACTTAATTTACATGCCTGTCAGTTGATTACTCACAAAGTTCATGAAAAACAAAGCACTTACTATGAGTTCTAACTTATTTGTAAGGACGGTAGACCTCAAGAGACTTCTGCAAGTTCCCACTATTTTGTATAGTACACATTAAGATTTCAAGGAATGTGATTGACAGAATGCTATATATCCTTTAGCTGAAGCTTCATTCATTCATTCATTGTTTGTAGCACCTGCTCCCCCAAAGTAGAGAAAAACTATGGTAAGAAAAAAAGAAAACCAAATAGAAAAGCAAGCAAAAACCAAAGTTAGTGTCTCTACCCCATGGTGTGTGGTAACAGCGACTAAAGATGAATAGACTCCATGTGTCCATCTTTGGGTAGATTTACGGTATACACATATGGGTAATATTCATTACAAACATGCACTAGCAGACAAAACATCAAGGCTATGGAAAGCCTACCGATAGTGAAGTAATTGCTTTGTAACATGTTTACTACATTAAGAACATACGTTTTAATATTACTTGCAACAACATGGATTAATCTTATAAATGTTACATTGAGATTAAAAGCAAGTCACAAAATAATATATTTGTAAACAGTGCAGACCAAACAAAATGAGCCCGTGTTTTTGGATGGTCATGGTGGACATACACATAGCCAGGTTTCCGTGGCGTCATTATTCTGCCTCTAAATGCATTTGTAGGTTGCAATTCAATGTTCAGTTTCAGAAAATTTGATCGAGTTCAAACTTTTTAATTTTAGCTATTTTCTGCATATCCATTATCTTTCTTCAATGAAGAGTCAAAAATGCAGCTCATGAACTACAACAACGCAATGGGGCGGTAGAGGAAAGCAGGAAGGCTACTGCTAAGTAGCAGTGGTGATCAGGAAGACTTCTAAGGAGGCTACATTTGAACAAAAGGAACAAGACAGAGGATGGTCTGGGAAGACAGCTTTCAGGACAGGAGGAACAGCAGAAGCTGATGTAGTGGATGCTGTGTGACGCAAGTTGATGGATTCATCACTGAATAAGAAATGGCATTCTTTATCTCTTCTAAATAAGTTTGGTTTGATATCTGTTGTCAGGTAGTATAGCTACACCTGCTTGCCTTCCAGTTCCATGTGCTTGAAAGACTTCCTCTATTCTTTGACCCTGACACTGTGTTATCTTTGCAGTGCAGTGCATTTCTTATAAGCAAGGAATAGAGATGTCATGTGTTCATACCAATCTGTTAGCCTGTGTCTTTTGATTGGAGAATTGCAGCCATTAATAATCAGAGCTATTGTTAAAAGACAGTATTAATTCCTGTCATTTTTATCTCTTTTGTTCCTTTGCTTCATTTCATTTGCTTTTTTGCTCTTCTAGTGAAGTTTATTCTTTCCTGTAACCTCATGGATATGTTTGTCCTTTTCTTGAGTATGTAGGACTTCTTTAAATATGTTCTGTGGAGCTGACTGGCTAAGTGATCACAGATTCCTTAAGTTTGCATTTATCATGGAAAATTTGTCTTTCAATTTTGAAGTGTATCTTTACTTGACATAATAATCCATGTTGCAGTCTAGGCATGGTGGCACACATTTTCAATCCCAGCACATGAGGGCAGAGGCAGGCAGATCACTATGCATTCAAGGTTATCAGGATGGTCTACAGAATGAGTTCCAGGCTAGTCAGGGCTACATAGTGAGACCCTGTCTCAAAAAATTTACAGGCTAGTCAGGGCTACATAGTGAGACCATGTCTCAAAAATTTTTTAAAACATAATAAACTAGATTGGAAACTAACTTACAACTAGAAGTTTAGAATTTCAGTTGAGAAATACATTGCTCTTTCCAATTTTTTTTTTTTTTGAGACAAGACTTTTCAATTTTTAAAAATTTTATTATTGTTGCATGTGTGTGTATGTGTTTGTGTGTGTGTGAATGTAGGCACACACACACACCATAGCTTGCATGTGGAGGTCAGAGGACAGCTTTGTAGAATAGATTCTCTCCTTTCACCTTTATCTGGATTCCAGGGATTGAGCTCAGGTCAATAGCGCAGCAAGCACCAGCTCACCAGCCCGAGAAAGCTGTTAGTCTAATGGGTTTGCTTTTACATGTGTCTCTTGGAGCTTTCAATAGTCTTTCTTTGTTTTGTATACTTTATACAATGGGGGAGATTCTTTTCTGGTGTTAACTGGTTTTCTATTTGCTTCTGAATCTAGATGGTCATATCTTTTCCAAGATTAAGGAAATTTTCGGGTAGATTTTCACTGAATATGTTTTCTATGCCTTTCCCTGAATTTCTGTTTCTCTTATGCCCAGGGTTCATAAGTTTGTGTTTCTATAACGTTACATGTTTTCTTCACACTTCCTTATTTTATCTTTATTGTTTTCCAAAAATTCTGTTTTACCAAGTCTTTAAACCTCTTATCAATTTTCTTGATTAGGTTTTCAAATGAGACTTTGTTTGACATATTGAGGTTTTTGTTTTCAAAATTTTAGGTTTTAATTTTGGTGTTTTCCAGTCTTTATCTCTTTATTGGATTATCCTTTTACATCCTGTATTGACTTCCTCATTTGATTCAACTGCTTATATTCTTTTGAATTTGTTCACGTTTCTCTTTTAATTCAATGAACAGTTCATCAATCATTCATTGGAGTTATTTGGGATTTTTGTCTCATTCACTCTGATTGGAATCCATTACTGTGGAATCGGTTGTTTTCTGGAGGAACCGCGTCGCCTTAATGTTTCATGTTTCTTGTGCTTCTTTGTTGGTTACTTTGCATCTGGGATTAAGACACTGATTAGATTTTTTGATCACCAGTATTCTTTCATTTGAAGTATTTTCAATGTTCAAGTAAGACTAGAGTTGAGACGTGATTATATCCCTCTGAATTAGAGGTGTAGCTTGGTGATTAAACCCTCAGCCCACATGTCCAAGGTACCAAGCACAATCTCCACCACCCTTTCTGAGAAGTGTAATATTATAGGGGAGGAAAAAGTAAAGAGAAAGGCAAATTGAGATGTTATTATGGTAAATGGAACTTAATCATTGTCAAAGTTAGAGGAAATGATACTTTAAAGTAAAACAGGGAATGCAAAAAGAGAAATAAACAGGAATGAGGGGGAAAATAGATGTGTTGTAGGTAATAGAAATTTTGATAACACAATGAATGGGTATGGAAACAGAAAACTCAATCAGAAAATCTTATTATTCCATATAAAACTAAAAAAATTAAGAAATATTTGTGAAATAGTGAAGATTTCTTAAAATGTAACAAAATACTTAGTCTTTGGATTTTTATTTCTGAATCTTCAGTGTCATAGAAAGCACTCATTAAATAGATTTATTAGGCTTTTCTCTTTTAAATTGGTTTTGTCAAAGTCTCTTGTGAGACTCAATGCAATCTCTTAACTGTGATCCCAATAAAATAAAAAAAATCACATTCTTCCAACATGCAATGGCACGTAGCTTAATTCTCATTCCAAAAGGAAGTAACTGGAGCCTAGCAAGAAAAATTAGACCAAATCAAGACTAATACACAACAGGGAAAACCACCAAAACCTACAGCTCCATGTCTAGCATCTTGGACTCATAACAGAACCATCTCAGTTCTAAAGGGGTTAGCTAGCCCTGCCTTTCTAGCCCTGTTGCCTAGGGCACACAGAGCCTCTCTCTTGGGCTGGCTATACTCTTTGTATGCAGCTTTCTTTGGTGGGTATCCCATGGCCCTGTTCTCTCCAACATCCTAGGTTTCTATTGTAACTTGGGTTTCACCTTCACAGATTCAGATAGTGGCTTCTCAGGGCCTCCTTGCAGTTGACTTCAACCCTGCCACAGTTTATCTGACCTCAGAGGCTCTCTTAAACTGGGAAACAAGACCCTGT